GAAAGTCAGCCAGCCTGTGGGACAGCCCACTGGCAATGATGTACTGGAAAAAAAAACCCCTCAAACCCCTAAACTTTCCATATCTTAAAATTGAACAGATTAAAACTCCAGCAGCAGCCAGGACGTGAACTGCACGTTGCACTTTGCATATAGCATTGAAAGCTAAAGATGCCTGACCATTGCCACAAGAAAAGTCCAGTTTCCTCAAAGGACGACTCAGTTTCCCACTGGTTTGGTGCTGAAAAACACAGAGGAGGAAAGGGCTGAAAATATTCTTTATTCCTGTTCATCTTTCTCTGTGCCCAGAAGGCTCATATAAATGATAGCCCAGCCACATGTCACCGGACACATCTTACGCTGCTACTTCTCTCAATCTTCTCTTGTGGTGTCCTTTCTGCCCCTTTCAATGATTTTAAGTTTTTGCATGTACTTTACAGCCAACTCTTTCATACCACGTTTCAACGTTCCCATGGACTCTGGCAATGGCTCGGTTGTACGTCTTGGCTGTGCGTGGGATTCTTTCAAGCATCTCCCAGCTCTATGAAGTAAAGGAGTTAGTGCTTTAGCCCTTTCGTTTAACCATCAGCCCATCAATTAATCATTGCCTGGGCTTTACTACTTTTAAATTGCTCTCTCCTATGCCCGTTCTGGCCTGGTCTCCCTTTTTACCAGCTTCAGTCCCAAACCACGTATCACTCCCTATATCCTGGGCAACAGCGCACATTTAAACCAGGCCTGAAAACGCCTCCTATCAGAAAAAACTGTGGGATGTGTCATTTGAGGGCGGTGCTCCATCCTGCTAGGAACCGGAGCATGCTGCCTTCTGCAAGAGAGGAACCATCGCCCTTCAGGAGCTCAGAGACAGGACAGGAGGGAGGCAGCGGGCTCTAATGACAAATCCGTTTCCATCCCACCTCCACCCTCCATACGTGTGTTCCCAACTGCTGCATATAGCCAACGCCCTGCCGCTCCCCAGGCAGGGGCAGCAGCAATTGTATTTTAATGCTTTAACAAGGCCCGTGGCAACGGGGGGGCTGGCAGCGTCCTGTAAAACGCTGACATTACTGCCCAAGCGGTGAAGCTGGAAGCTGAGCCCGCCCTGCTGTTGTCACTATGAGGTGCCTTTTCCCTTCTTCCATCCCTCCAGTATGTTTTTATGGCTTCCCGAAGTAAATAAGGATACACGCACCTCACCCGTACCTAATCTTTTGAATCTTTTAACGGGTGCTCGCCTCTTAACAATCCCTCCCTCCCCCCTTAATCACCAGCACTGCTGCAGCAAGCGGTAGGAGAGCCCAGCCTGCTGGGACAGGGCCGAGCACCACTCCTCCAGAGCAAGGCTGCTAAAATCCACTCAAGTTCTTCCGGCCCGTGGGCTCCACCCCAGACCCAGGGTGACAACGCCTGTGGGGCTCAGGGGTTGTCCCCACATTCCTAGCCTAGGCAGGCAGCTACGCTGCACCCCCCCCACATAACCTCCCACAGCGTGGGCTCTGCCCCGGGTGCAGCGCGGAGGCTGCTCTCCCTGTCCACCTGCTATTTTCTTCAGCTTTGCACGTAGCTCAAGCAGACAAGGAAATCTGTCATCTCCTCCTCCCCTCCGACCTTTTTCCCAATTACCCAGTACGTCCTGCTTTCCTGCCTTTTTGGAGGAATGCCATTATTTTCCTGGAAGGAGGCTGCCCTGGGGCCTGGCGGGCCCCATGCCCACATTGGGCATGCATGCATGCATGCCTTGCTAGCAGCCTCCTCCCTGGCATCCCGTGCCTTCCTCCACGGGGCCCTGCAGGTAGCAGCCCTGCACCGACCTTGCTTGAACTTGAGCTTCAGCTTGAACTTGTCTAGGCATCACTTGCACCCCTCCTTCCTCTGCTGTCAGCATCGTCACAACAGAAGCAGTCAATACTGGTTGGCTTTGACCTGCCCCAGGGGCAAAACAGTCACCCTCATCAGCCTTTTCCCTGTGCTCTATCACTGATCTCCCAACTGGAGTGCTTCCTCTGCCTGGTTCCCACGCTGGCTAAAGCAGCCGTGGAAGATGAAACTTCCCTACCAGCCTTACCCGTCGGCCCCACCTCAGCCACTGAATCACTGGGCCACGACTCTCCGCTATAGATCCAGACAAACTGGCTCTGACCTAAGGAAGCTCAGGGTTAAAAGCCCCCTCTCTAGCCCTCTACGCCAAATGACATTTTTGCTTGAGCCCCTTCCCAGGATCAGGGCAGCAACCAAGGACGAGCACCCTCCTCCCTATCATCTCAGTTGAATCCTTGCATCTTCCATCTCCTAACCAATAAATGTCTTTGTGGCCAGGATATCACCAACTGTGGAGTCCCCAGTCCTTGCCCACCTTTGTTCCAGGATCTGCTGTACGATGCTGAACTGAGCCAAGCAGTGCTCATTTAAGCAAAGCAACATCATTTTAATACTACTTTGAAAGTCCTTCCTCCGACTAGGAAGGTGCGGATTCAGGATACTTTGTCTTTAGGATCAACAAGTTATCTGCCATATAAATTCAGGAATTTTGGGGAATTTTCTCTCTCTTCTCGCTTTCTAGTGACCTTTCTCTTAAATGCTTCTTACTTTTTTAGCTACCAACGTCGCTACTTCTAAAATGTAACCACTGGTAGGACTTCACTTCTCCAAAAAAAGCAGAGATGCTGCTCCCAAGATTATGTACCTGAAGGAAAGCTTAAAAATCAAATGCTCTGTTGAACATAATGTATTTACAGAAGAACTTAAATGAAGCTCAGAAACATGTGACTATTCCTTCTGCCCATTTATGGGATCCCTTTGTTGTCACGCTCCTCCAGGACAGTTCTCAGATCCACAGTTCAGTAGCAAATGTTGCTATTTATTTCTAATTCCCTTTTATCTTCAATTCAACTTTTTACTTTTTTTTTTAAACACCCATTTGTATCTCTGGTTTTATCCATCCCCTAATAATGCCTTTTTTCTATTAGTCTGTACCTTTCAAAAACTCTTGCAATAAATGCGACATCTTCGGCCATTTTCATCCTTTTACACTTCGATCTTTAATTTGCCTGCTAGAATAATTTGTAGCCACAAGCAAATCAGAATCACTTGCAGTACGGCTCAGCTGTGGAGCTCAAGGGCCCCAAGACTGAGGTTCCTTGGAAAGCCAGTTAGTCCCCTCCGTTCAGCTTAGGACTCCCACCCCCCCCACCCCCTGCTTGGAAATATCCAGAGATTGCAAGTGTTTCACTTGCACCATGCGCTTCGTAATTTAAGAAGCAGAAGTGCTTCATAATAACTACAATTGATTAAATATTAACTTGTGCTTTTTTTAATAAAATGAAACAAAAGCATTCTAAATCATAGCAGCTTATAGGTCAAAACTGTCCATCGGTCAGGAGCATAGTGTAATTAAGAAGTACGAAAACTGCAAAATATTAAAGCTCTGCAGCAATTCAAATCCACAACAAAACCTTCAAGCAGAGCGAGCACCACTGCCTGAGGCTCTACTGATTTGGTCTACTTGTTCATTGGCGAAATACGAATTTTCTTCCTTGGTAATGGCATATCCTCTTTTCCAAAGGGGAGGAAAGGTACAAAGCCCTTCTGATTAGCGCACGGTAGCTCTTTCCCTAGTTAGCAACATTCTTTTACAGCACTGAGAAACGAGGACTTTTTGTTTACCATTAGTTGAGGTAAGTTATCTTGCTTTTATTTGGGTTTAAGACTACTGTAAAGGAGTAGCTTTTCAGTTGCAGCATGGTTTGTCAAGATTACAATATTTATGACTGCATAAAATACATTAAGTAAAAAAATTATGATTTGTAGAGTTTGTTATCAAGAGCCGAGACTTACATCTTTACAGAACTGCAAATACTGGCTTCCTAACTGCTAGTTGATAATTTTGCTGGCAAGAGCATTTGTTATACTTTTCTTTAATGTCCGTACCCTTTTGTCCAACTGTTGTAAGAACTAGCACGAAAGTCATTTATAACTATGGTTAAACTGTTGTAACAGCATTAGACGAGCTGTACTGATTCTTCATTAGAACACCCTTCGTTTGAAGCTACAAATGTAAGAGGCGATTCTTTTTGTTCAAAAGAAACTATTAGCATGCTCTGTGCCTTTAACACTTCACAGATTACAAAAAATTTAACAATGCAATCACTAACATACCCCACTAATGAGAAATTATGAGAAATTGTTTGATGCAGAACCTTCTGCATCAGTCAACTCTGATCGATAAGAAAGCTATCAATTTTGAAATTTAGATTTAATGCATTTTCAAGAAGCTAATGAGAAAGGAGCAATTTAAAATAAATACCATCATTAAAACTGCAAACTGTTACAATGATATATTATAAACTTGTCCTAAATAAACCTAGTGCTTCAAAAATTTACCAGTGAATTCGTATTACAAAATATGTGAAAATACAACAGAATACCACAAAACAACCTCCTTTTTTGGGGTCAACAATGACGCCAAGATGATTCAGTCGTAACTTTTTCAATTGTTAATAGAACATATTGTAATATATATAAGTTGCAATTTGGTTGAATTCTAGAGAACATCCCCACCCAAACTCAAATTCACCTTTTTCACTCCTCCTCTAAAACTAGCGCCAAACTTCCTGTCAAAGCTGGTATTTTCTTGAAGAGCTTTAAAGTTTAGCCGTTACTTATTTTCTACTACTACGTTTTGGCAGCAACTATTTATTGGTCTGTTATTGCAAAAAGTGCAATTTAACAATAAACCAGTCTGAAGGTCATTTCATGTCTTGAGGATACATACCATATATTTCTTTAAAAAGAAACATACTTTTGTAAGCAATACTTTACAGTAGACACCTCAAATCTACCATAGATGTAAAACTTAAAACGAGAAAAATTTAGTCTCTAAATCTTTATACACATATTTATATTCGAGTTTCTATATATATTATATATATACACAAGCACAAGAGTATATATAAAATATATAAAATCAGATTCAAAAAAGAACAAAAACTGGGCACTGTACATAAAATCTTTTTAAAACTCAAACAATAGAAAAACTTTAAACATTAAACAATTTTAATAAAAGTTTCTGTACAATGCTAAGCAGTTTTATTTACATATAGAAAATGTAATAGGAGTAGTGTTTGAAATTACAGAACTCCTTAAAATTTCAATGGCAGGTAATCTGGAAAAAATAACAGCATTCCATTCACAAATATTTTCAAGCAATAAATATGTATTTATAAATAGTGTAAATTTACATCAAGATTAGAAACAAAAATCACAAATCTGAAGTTTATTCCTTAGTCTATGTGCAACCCATTTATCTTTGTGACTTGGCTGTTAATTGTTTTAAATTTTATTTAGGAACCAAAAGTGTAACCGTCATGGTTTCAAAACAAGACAGAAAAACATAAAAGCAGTAAAAAATTTATATCACCTAACTCTTCACATTAAAAAAAAAAAAAAAAAAAAGTTGCCCAAAGAAAGACTTAAAATTTCTAACTACCTTACAAAGAAATGACCAGCTAAGCTAGTACTTTTTCCAAGGGAAATTCTGAAGGGGAAAAATGGGTGAAACCAACTCATCAGCCCAGAAACAGAGAAATACAAAAGAGGTGGTCTTCAAGTCAGTAGTCTGTATAATGTTGCCAGTTTTGTCAGATATATACAAAACATGGAATTATTTTTTTGAAGTACAGCTGGATGAGCTTTATTTGTTTTTGAGTTCTGGAGTAGGAGGCAGTGCTCTCTCCTGTCCAGTTGGTTGACACTCCGCACTTGGAAGGTTGCATAGACACAGCTTTCAGCCAGCAGCCTTACGGGATAGCTACAAAAATCAGTGGTGCAGAACTGGGTCACTTCCTGAATATCAGAAAAGTTTTCATTTAATGTCCATGAAAAAATGTCAAGATGAGGAGGATGGCAATGGAGGAGCCTGAAAAAGAAAACATTAAATTACCTTTTCTACAAGGGTGTAAAACTCAGTTGTTTAACCAAGACCTGCACAAATTGTAACCGTGAGAGTTTAAAGTCACACGCACTACTGTTTTTACACTTCAGGACTCCTTTCAAGTGGATACTGGCATTTTTTTCCAACTTACTCAAATATAACGCACATTTTACGACTACCCTCCATTAGGATTTTACCTATACTGCAGACTGGAGTATGCTGTGGGGATGTCTGTGTTAACACGACGTGAGCTGCAAGTCCCACTGTGGCAGCAAAGAGCTCCATGTGGGCTCAGTATAGATATATCTTCATATACTCTAAAACAGGGATTCTCAACCTGTTTACCAATGGGGGGGATTGTCCATTTGTGGCCCTCTAAATGCCCTGCGGGCTTCATTTCCACCACCACCCCCCCCACCTAAACAGTAACATGTAACCCTGAAGTTAGGGTATCTGTGGAAAGGGTCTCAGATTCTCTGACATGGGGACAAAGTTGGTTGTGTTTGTTTTATTTATTTATTTTTAATCCTGGAAGACAACACCAGAGTGCCTCAAGAGTGAAGTAAGCCAGATGTCTTGCTCCTGCCTGCTTTCAGGAGACAAGGTCTAGAAGATACCTATTTCCCAACATTGCAACTTTGAGGCATCACCATCAAAATACTGGATCTTTGATAGCATTTCCTTCTCTCATCAGTCCTGTCATGACATGGAATCCCTTCAAGAAGCAGCTCACAGTCTTTGAAGACACTTTAAATCATGCCATGGTACCCACCTATGAAACACTAACACTAGCTGATCCCCACGTTTGCTCCCAATACTTTACCCCAAACACAGAGCCTCTCTCTGTTAGGCCTATTGCACCTTTGCCATCTGAGATTATCTTCGTCCTGTGACTTGCAACAAACCTCAACTCTTCTCCTAGATCTGAGATGTCACTTTTAGGCTCTGACTCTTCTCAATCGAGATTGTATCCCCTTTAAAAGAAATGAATGTGCACACCAATTTCACAGGAGAACAATTATTAATGCCCTCTAGGGCTGCAGGTATAGGCTTTCGTCGGGGAGGGAGCTACTCACAGGTTGAGAACCCTTGTTCTAGGGACAGTATCATCACTGTTACCTCTATAACGTTATAAACACAGACAACAAAATACCCCTCCCTGCCCCTTTTTTCCATACAGAAACGTTCTTGCCCATTTCCACTCAACTGGATGACGTATCTGAGAACAGGTGTTTACTTATATGCTTTTCTATAACAGATCATCACTTCGAAATTGCAGTATTTCACAAACTAGAACGACAATGGGCTCCTAGAAGTATGAATTGAAGTTCAACCACCTCAGGCTCTGTAGGACCAATGAAGAGAAATATATTCAGAGGACAAGGTCCCGCACTCTCGACAGCCTCTACTGCTGAACCTTGAGGCCTTAGCTCAAAAGGTCACAACCTATCATGCTAGCATTACATGAAATAATTGTCTAAACACACGTTTTCTGCAGCACCTGGAAATGAATCAAAAGGCACCGCCGTTTCTGGGCTGTTGTATTTAATTCAACATGAAATTCTCATAACACTTTGTCCAATGTTTGTCTCCTCTGACAGAAAGGCAAGGCTTATAAATAAATCCAGCATCGCTTTCACTGTGATTACAAACAAGCCATCTTTGCCTGAAACAATGAAACCTGGGCGAAATGTTAGGACAGTTGTGCTGACACAGTTCAAAGCAGGAGGCTGCCATATATAGCACAAAGCTATAATGGCAAAGAGGCTTTTTGCTCTAAATTGAAATGCAAAGGAGGCCCCAAGCCAAAAGACAGAACTCTTTGAGAGCATCCACTTGCTAAGCAGAAGGACAGTGCTGATTTGGGAGGGGATGGGTGGGGAAGGGGAAGGAAGGGGTCTGAGTGCATAGGATGCTCTGCTGCTATACTGACTTCATACCACAACCAATGTATTAGAGATGCTCTTGAACCTGGTGCTAGTTTCTCCAAGCTTCACTGTCCTGATTCTTCCCATCTCCATCTGATCCAGTTATGGTCTTCAGGTGATCTCTATTGGATTTTTAAAGCCACAACTTTATGAATTGTAACATCATACTTTTCCTGAAAACTCAGCGGTTATGTTCTGCAGTAAGTTACTGTACTATTTCACATAATTCTGACTCTTCAGCGTTTTGTTCTGTAAATATCACACACAACCCATACCTCCATTTGAATCAGAAAGTCCACGGTACTCATACAATGGAGTACCAAGACAGTCTACAACTGCTTTACAAATAATGTATTTATGCACCCACTTATTAATTTGACTTACTAATGTAAATTGATCATAGACTTGCATCAAGTCCTCCATTTTGTACTGTTCTAGCACCACAAAATTTTCCAGGTTCGTGCTTATCTTTCGTGCACAGTCTTGGCAATGTACAACATAGGTCTTTCGAGAATTGCTCTCACTAGTGACAAAAAGCAGATCAAAGACTTCCACCTATTAGATAGGAAACAGAAAGTCAACCGTTACAATTTCATTTTTTAAAAGTTAAACCATGAAAACTGTATTTTCTTTAAGATTTACACCCTTACCCTGTGCATGCAAAGAGAATAATTAGATTTGTTCAGGGAAAATCTATCCTCCTAAGGCTCAGGCAGAGAAGTGAAATATTGTAAAACCACTAACATCACACTTAGGATGTCTGCATGAACAGCGTGATGGGAAAGCTTTTGGTCAATATTGACAAAGCAGGATTCATACTCTGAATAGGGGTTATTCAGTAAGGTGGGGATTTATAACAATTATACCTATTTTCCTTTTCAAAATTTGTCTGCAAAAGTAGTTGATGATTTCTTTCCTTACTACTCAGTCACATGCTCATCCTGCCCAAGAGGCTCAGTCAGAAGATAACTAGAAACTCATTTTCAGGGGGTAGGAAAATTTTATTTTCTTTTAAGCTTCATGAGAACTATTATCCAATACTTTAAAGGAACTATTTCAGAAAGTAGAATAAAAAAATTCAGCAAAAAGGTATATCCTGTGAAAAAAATGTACTTAAATTCTCTCTTTTGGGGCTGCTGTTGACTTCTGAAACAAAGACAGATACACCTTTAAAATGAAGCTCAGCAGATCAAATTATATGCAGGAAGGGATAACAACTTTTTATAACTGAGAATTGAAAATCGACCTAGTGAATAACAATGCTGTGGAAGTACTGTGGAAGAAACTGCAGCAAAATACAGCCTATGTCTAGAAAAGCTCTTTGAAGACAGTACTGCATCACATATATGTGCTTATAGCATATAGTAGATGCTGCAACTTAAAAGCAAAATTAAAATAGCAGCAAAAAGGTATATCCAGTGAAAAAAATGTACTTAAATTCTCTCTTTTGGGGCTGCTGTTGACTTCTGAAACGAAGACAGATACACCTTTAAAATGAAGCTCAGCAGATCAAATTATATGCAGGAAGGGATAACAACTTTTTATAACTGAGAATTGAAAATCGACCTAGTGAATAACAATGCTGTGGAAGTACTGTGGAAGAAACTGCAGCAAAATACAGCCTGTGTCTAGAAAAGCTCTTTGAAGACAGTACTGCATCACATATATGTGCTTATAGCATATAGTAGATGCTGCAACTTAAAAGCAAAATTAAAATAGCAACAACAACAAAAGACAGGACAAAATTTAAAAAAAATATGACAGTAGTACACAAGCCCAACACATTTTTACTGACCTCACAAATGCTACAGTAATGAGCTGGCTCGTCCTTTGCTCGCCCATGCCAGACAATCTCTTTTCCTGCAGCAATTAGAGCTTCCCTCAGTGTCTGACACTGTTTGAGAGTTCTTAACAGGCAGTACCTGCAACCAAAATCAGGTGTATATTCAGTTCAATATTCAACTTTATAGCAAGATTCAAGTAGGCTTAAATTTCTTCCAAGACCCTGTACCTGGAGTTTCCTCTTCCTCTGGGATTTCAGAAACAGCTGGCTAATAAGAATCACTGGACCCATGACTTATGCAGAAGTTAGACCACATGCTTATGGAGCTTTGTGGAGATTTGTTCCATTTCAGTACTGCCCCTTGCCCTGCAAACAGGCTGTATCTTTCATTTTTTTACTGGAACACATGAACGCTCTTTTAAGCACAATGAAACAATGTGTTTTCAAAAGCAATTCATGTATTTTATTTTGAACTATAAGTTAGTTTGAACTGCCAAGTTCAAAATATCTGTTCACATTTTGTGTAAATGACTATAGCCTATCCAAAGAACCGTTTTAACATCCTAAAAACCCTGTTACTTCCTCAACACTATTAAACTTCCAGTTATCCAAAGTCTGGAAACCCACGTTCTGACAGTCCTCTTCTGTACTAGAAAATCTAACTTGTTTTCTTGCATTGTATGAGCTACGTAAGTTCTCTAAAAAAAGAGCTGGCAAAATAGGTCGCCAGATTTCTAAATTACAATGTTATTTACAATAATTTTTAGCTCTCAGCGATCCTATTTATTTGAGCTGCAGCCTTTGCAGCCTTTAATTTTCTCCTCCACAGGGTGGTTACGTTACATGCTCATTAGATGCAGAAGGAAGATTGAAAAAATGTAAGAGGAAGAATAAACATTGGACAGAAAACAAAGTGCTCAAGAGTTCTATCAAAATGTTTTCAACTTGATCCTTCTCCCATTTTAAAGCCTTAAACATGTAATATATACGTTCTGTTTTTTTTTTTTTTAAAGTTTCTTTCATGTGTTTCCAAGTAGTTAACAGAATCTTAGGCTTACTTTGAGATACTCTCCTCTTGATGTGTTACACTCAGACTGTTCATCTTCACTAAAAACAAGTCTATGGCTTCGTTAATACCCTCACTGTAAGAATAATGCAAAACTGAAAGCGTGTTTCTGTTCAACATCGTATTTTCATACACTGAATTTCAAGAAAATTAAACAGCTCATTTAGCTGTAACTCCTTCAACACTTTTGAAGTTTGATGTTAATGGGACTTACGATGCTAAGGCCAACCATATGCAATAGATCATACATTAATTCACTTGGGTGTTGGGCTAACGTAGACATGCTTCTGACAAGTTCAGTAACTTTGGTATAGCATTCTTTTATGCAATACAGCCTGATTTCAAATAAACTTAAAAGCTACCATTCTTCTCTTCTCGTCTCTTCTGCTGTTAACTGGAAAAATCTCTGGGTATGGCAAAGAGCAACTGGAAGCACATCTGCACACTTGCCACCATTGTTCTCCACTCTTGACTTCCAAAGAGTTTTCAAAGTGTTATTTTCAAAGAGTTTTCTAGTGTTACAGTTGTGAAGAAAGAATTGCCCAAAACGTAACTCACATACAACACTGCTGCAATGTTTGCCAAATTTGCAACCAAAGCTGAAAACAATAGCTAGAAGGTGAATTCCTCCTCCTTGGATAAAATTCAGATCCTAGTAATGGCACTTGAAAATGGAAACGTTAACTATTTCATGCTGTCAAAGAATGGGAGAAAGCATACTATCTATCACTTTGAAAATGCACCACAATTTCCTGAAGTATGGGAAGCCTAAAGAAAGCCAAAAAGGTGTCCAGCAGTGTCACAATGTATGTCAGCTTTTAGTACTGTAGGCCTGCTTTTATTCTTGTACGGTAAGAATTCAGCTGAAAGAAAATCTGGACCATATCTCTCTCTCAAATTCTTTACAGGTATGGCATAAAGAGTACGAGTAAATCATGTCCAGTCAAATTCAAATATTTAAGAGAAGATGATTTTAAAATGGACATCATCCTGATTTATTCTAGAAGAGCAGTGAGAAACCTGTTTGAATATTTAGATATCCAGTAAAACTTCTGGAAGTGTGGAGACCATCCCAATGGCAACGCAAAACTGACCTCTTTGTATCTTCCAGTAATGTATCTTCCCTACTGATACGGAAATGTATTTTATCTGGCTTCATGATTTTGTGCAAAATCATTTCTCCCATGTCATGTTCTTTTACATTTCTAAAACTATTTTTGTAGAAGAACTTATTATTTCAGTTACTTTGGAATTAATTTTTTAAGCCTTTATTACCATGTTCCCACTACCTCTAAAATTCTTCTCTTCCTCAGATGCATTTGTAAAAGTCCTTGCAGCTTCCATCTAAGAGAATTGTGGTTAATTTTTCTTTTCTTGAGGGTTGCGCTCCCTCAGTCAAGTTCTAAATCATTCTGTCTGCCCATGTTCCTGCTCATGATTCTACTGTTAATATCAAATCTTTAAAAAACATTTCATGAGAAAGTTTCAGTTTTTGCTCTTTGTCTTTTATCTTGCAAGACAGCACGGAGTTGCACATTAACTAAAAATATAAGGCGGCTTCAGATTTCTTCCAAAAGCAAAGTTTCCTTCTATTATTTTTTTCCCTACTGCTATTCTATATCTTTTCACCATAAATCCCAATATTTGTATGTATTTATATGTATGCTTAAGTTTTAGTTTATTGCCTATGTAGTGGTTACTCTCACATAACCCAGTAAGACATATTCGTATTTATCTTCAAATTGGAATTACAAACTACTTTTTATTGTTTTCCAAGAGCTGGTCTTTTGTACTATTCTGATACCTAAGAAGCCCCAGAGACAGAAATCAAACCACTTCAGGTATCTTCGACATCCAATTTTAGATAAAGACCTGCATTTTGGCAAAAAGGTGACAGCTGTGTCAGTGATACTTTTTTTTTTCCTGATGACAAATGAAAAGTCAGCTATTCAAGATGAAGTTCAACCAGCTGTATCAGAAATCACTATTTCTCAAGTGTTTTTATACACATGCACACACACACACGTATAAACACACAAATGTCTGTATTTTTTACATAATAAAATCCAGAAGCAGTGGACAATAGCTACTTGCCAACTGGTGCCATTTTCCTGCAGACAAGCAGTCCATAGGAAAATTATGCAACTGCTTTCCTATCTTAAGGAGATTCACGAAGGTTTCTGCATTTCCAGTATGCTTACAAAGCCAAGGTCAGATACTAGACCTGTTTATTCTGGGGACACCCTTTTCTAGTAACAGCTATACCGTAACTATAGAAATGACCACAATGAAGAGTTATCTCAGGTTACTGCTACTAGACGCTACAAACCAGAGCTCATCATTGGATCTTCTTCCCCGCCGCACACATAGCATGGAACTTGAGATCTGGCTGACAAGTAACTTGGATGGAGGGCTTAATCCCAGTAAACTGGAAGTGGTTTCAGTAGACTGGAAAAAGCAAAACTCATGCAAGACCAAAGTCTGTATCTGCTCCTCAGCATCTTTCTTTATTTGTAATGTACACCTAAAATTTAGGTGTCTCACTAGAAAAAGCTCAGCTGCTGTCAGCCAGCAAGATAATAGGGAACAACCATTTTGTCCTCTGTGTTTCTTCACAACATTTTAAGAGATTCTCTTGGAGAAGGATGCTATGCTCAGTCATGTTTTTCTCCTTTTAAGCCTAAACCATGGCAAAAAACCCCCGAACTTGTGCAAATGCAAAATACAGGTGCCAAAATATCGAAATCATATTTTCCAAAAACATTCCAGAACTGTTTCAAGCTTTACAATAGATGCCTGCTGGGCTTGAGAAGATATAGAAAGGTAATTGTGAAATAAGTTTGGGTTGTTGTGGGGTTTTTTTGTTTTTGTTTTTTTTAAATATATGGACTTTTTGGCTTCTTCCCTCCCAAGAGGGAAGTTTCTCCCCGTTTCTCATTTCTAAGTATTCAGTTTCTCCTCTCCCTTTTATGACAGCTGGCATCCTGACTATGAGCACCGATAGCTTAATTAAAGGGGCAGGACTGCCAAGCCTTCAGCAAAGATTTTCTTTACCCTAGATATTAGTTTCTAGATTTTAAGAAAGTATTCACACATAAATGCTATTCCAAAATCTAGCTTCACAGTGACTACAAACCTCCCTCCCTGTCTTCAACTTCCAACATTCTTGGTCCTTACAAAGTTACCGTTTCACCAATTCCACCATTCTGAAACATGTTCAAGCCTAAATTAAATTCCTACTGTAAAAAGGTGTCTCACTCAGATGTCATCAATAAATCCTACTGGGGGAAAAACAGAAATTCTTTTTCTTTGCCCTTTTTTTGCAAGTTAACCCACCCATTTTTTAAAGGTCCATTTAAATTGGCAAATTATAAAAGGATTCAATGCTTGTGGATCCAGTATGTTGAAAAGACTAAGAAGTGCTCAAGCTAGAAGCTCCTTTGGTAGGCTTAAGGAAAACAGAGAGTGCTGCTACCAGAGTATTCTCATGATGAGTCATTTGTGTTGGAATTCCCCCCACTTTCTTTAGGACAAACCTACAATATATGCTGAAATGTCCGTTCATTCCTCAACCTAGGTATAATGGTGCTGCAATATGATCTATATTTGCTTGAAAATGAAATCTTTAAAGAAAATTACTAAAGATGCTCCGAGCCTGGAATTTTCCTGCATTTTGTAATATGCGTATGAGAAATGTCACTAAACTCAAGCATCATTTTACACATCAATTACTTCATTATTCAGAATAAAGAGCAAAGGGAAGGAGGCTTTCAAATTCCTACTTGCCTTTATTTAAAACATTTATACTGGATCTCCAAAAGACAGTGTGTGAGCACTAATTAGAAGTTCTAGAAATGTAAAATTAAGTTTAACTTTGCTGTAAAAATGACTAAACATTCTAATTCTAATATTTGAGTTGATGACCTAATTTTGTTATTTCTTATGGTATGTACTCTGAACAGCTTTTGTCATCTCAGTCAACTGTTTCTGTAAACTGCTGTATTAAGTCTATGGCGTATTTAACAAAAAAGTTAATTAGATCATTCTAAAGCTATGCCACAATAACATCAAATACAACGTAATAAAACTAATGATATCCGAAATGGATTCTTTGAAAAACAATATGAAATAATTTTGGCTTGATTCTCAGGAACGGAATCTTACAAAGGATTACTTAGAAATCAACTATTGCTTTATGCTTGAAGAGGAAATGGGTACAGTAAATGTCCAAATAAGTAAAACTTACTTTATCATTTCAAAAAGCTTTGGATCCGAGACCTTGATATTTCGAGCCATATTCCATGAAAGATGAACCATGGGTACTATGGACTTTACGCTCTGCAGTTTATTCCACTCGTACCGTTCCACTGCCAATTTATATTGACAGGCTATACAAAAGCAAAAGTACAGAAGCAATTAGTCAAGTTAAGAAATAAGTATCAACTGGAGCCAAAATAATTTGATTATAATCAAAATTTACACCCTTTAGGGCTAGATTAAACTTCATTCGCAATGACACATTCATTCCAAATACACTTGAATTCTATAAAATTTCTTTTAAAGTATTTATGATGCTAAAAGAACGTACAATATCACAGCAGCAACAACTATCTGTGAAAACAAGTTGCTGACAAGCATTCGATTTCTATGGTGAAGAGAGAGCAATATTTCAAAAAGGGTTCCTTAATAAATTTGCAAGTATTTCAGATTAAAAAAAAACAAACCAAACACCCCCCCCCCAATAACTGTTAATAAATCGATCAAAAAAATTTTCTGCACATGTCTTGAAAAGGAAGACTGCACATTGAGAGATTTGTTGCAATGAGTCAGATTTTTTCATTAGGCAGCCTACTCACCCCGCCCTTTTTTTAAAAATGTTTTACAAAATTTACTGCGACTGAACATGTGTCCTCTGTATCAGTCAATCATACAATCCTGGAGATATACTGTTTATTGCATCATAATGAAATAAAGACACACCTTAAACTATTTAAGAAAACAGGAGTTTTTTGGAAGTACATTCCGTTCAAATGCTTGACAGAATCTCATTTTAGCTGTGAAATTTCCTTCTACTCTCACTTCTAAAAACCTTCCAAGACCATGGTTAAAAACTAAAAACTTCTAGAATAGTACGTCTGAAAAACCCAGTATTCCTTTACGAACAAGATTTTACAACTGTTGGCATTTCCTGATGCTTTCACTGAAGAGCAATTAAGTAGCAGTTGTTCTGAAAAAAGTTAGATTGGACAAGTCCTCAACTCATACACAAGCTATAGCACAGTCTGCCGGGTAGAAAAAATTTTGGGAGAAAAAGTTAAGAAATGGCCTACAAGACAGAGTGTATGAATTCATCTAAACATTTTATTCTGCTGGTGTTTGCTACACAACTGGATTTTTACAAGTCCGTTAAATGGGCAAGTGCAAAGACTGCATTCTTACTGCTTTCCCCTCCCCTCTTACCAATGGAATTATTTACAGCTTCAACACAATGTTTTAAAATACAGTACGTTCATTTTTTTAATCTAGTAAAGCATGGTAAATTAGTAAGAAATGGCAAGTTCTGTGGCATATATAGTATATTATTACCTAATTACGTAGTTCAGCACAGGTACTATTCAACCATACCTGTAAGAGGGCCAACATTCCACGCAATGTTGTTGCACCAACCAATAGCCTGAACCCAATGAACAGTGCCAGCATTTATCCACACCAAATCCCCTGGTCTTTGAATAAACCTATAAACTGGGACATTGGCTTCATACAAATCTTCCAAGTTTGGCCACCAAGATCCCATTAGGAAATTCATATTATTCCTGAAACAATAGGAAAAATGAAGTCTTCAGCATTTATCAGCAGACATATTAGTGGTTGATATGTCAATGAAATTTCCTGTAAAAACTGATCCCCACGATAAATGCTTTCTGCATCTAATCAGTGACCCAGGAGGACTAGTCAAACGGAAAGTTTCATCTATAAAATTCCTGATCCTAATTCCACATTTCACATCCTGCAATACATTAAAACACTTAAACCATCTGTCTGCCCATGTGAAGTCAGTTTATGGCTTCCACTTTTGTTCTATTTTCCTTTCAATTTCCCAGTATTTTATTAATGCTGAGGCAGAGAAATCCTTGGTCAGATCTAGTGCGACACTGGTGCCGAATGCTGCTTTTTTTAACCAGTGACTAATTTTATATACTGAGCGTACCAGCTCTTAAGAATGTTTTCTGTTTTGAACAACGCCACCCATGTACTCGTACTGTCAGTGTATGCACACAAAGCTTGTCCACACAACAAGCAACCTGTTGACACCATCTCAACTGTGATCCACAGGTCTATGCTACATTCAGCCAAGAAATGTCAACCCTCCCGAGAAGCATGAAACGCACCTCCATATGAATTTCCTAAGCACCAACTCTTCCACTATGGTTATGCAAAATACATACTTCTCTCCCATCCTTATCCCAATTTTATACTGTTTCTATACTGCATCATGGGAGATCATTCGCAATTCACAGTTTTCAAAGACAATTCAGTGCCTCTATCAGGCACTCTAGACATTTTATGAGGTTACCAAGATCTTAAGTTTCTCTGTCACCCTCAGGAGGACAGTGTCATGGGGGTAGAAGGCACGTTGTCAGAGACACTGCAATTGCATCAGTGGAATTACAATTTTGAGATGGCTAATTTTGTAAAGGTGGATGAAATAAGAAGAGTTGTCAGTAGACAGGCAGAAAAAATACAGAGTACAGAGACACAGAGATGAATTTGCAGAGCTCTAGAAAAGTTCTGAAGAAAGTCAGGAGCTTAGTCCAGTTTTAACTGGGCAAGATAAGAAAAAAAAATTCTCCCATAAGATCAGCTTCAGAGGCTACCGCTTGAATACTAGCATGATTAAGGGACACAACTGCTCCTTTTTTTTTTTTTTTTTGGGGGGGGGGGGGGGGGGTGGGTTGGGGGGTGTTGGGGTGTGGTGGTCATGTGCATATGTGTGTGTTGTGTTAGGTGGATGCTTTAAAAACAAAAGGCACAACATAGAAACCCCAATCTTAAAGCTGGCTGAGTATTTCCCCAACGGTCAGTGCACTTTAACTTTTCCAGCAAGCTACAAACTTGTAAGTGTATGCAAAGCATGCCATGACACCTCCTGGGGTCCGAGTAAACTAAGCTCTCCCTCTAGATGCAGCAAGAATGTCATACTATGCCAAAATACCAATGACTCTGTACTTGCTTGTGTACAACATGTACATTAATCATAATAAAGATTAACAGCATACATCACCAGGAAAACACTTTATTCCATCACTCCTAAAAAAACCAAACCAAAACCCCAACTCCTTCACCCCCAACTTTGTTCCATCACTCCACTGCAATAGCCCTAGAAGCCATTACAAATGCATCACCATTTGGTCATAGTAGAGGTCAGCTTTAATATGCATGATAGAGTGCCTAGATAAACAGCAAGGACCACGATGGATTTTCTGATGTGGAAATGTTACTTCTACGAAAACTGGATTGATGCCACATAATACACATTGGTAGCAGACAGCCTATGCTTATTATACTAAACTACTGATCTCCCTTAATGTAGTATAAATTTGAATCTTGAACCTCGATGAGCATTTGCTACTATCAATCTCTCACTTCTTGTATTTCCTTCATTCCTTGAAATGAAGTTTGAAATGTCATTCCTTGAAATGACATGTGTTTCAAAAAAGCAAATAATGGACCTAATGTTTATTTTTGACAGCAAAGCTATCACAGGCAATCCAAGTTTCTGTACATTGTACAAATGTCGTATTTTGTATAAATTCTAGATTTTGCACTTTGACTTATTTTAAAAGACTTTTCTGACTACATGGAAAACCCGTAAAATAATGTCCTCTTACAACGCCCTCAGTAATTTCCCCCCTTAGGTCTGAGAAAGGCATAGAGAACTTGATAAAAATAGAGAAAAACAGCACGCCCAGCTTACTTTTCACAGAAGTCATTCATGACACCCCAATAGCTTTCAGGGACAACAAACCATTCACAGTCACCTGGACCAATATTTATATTTACTGAACAAAAGTTGTTATTTTCTTGATGACCTGAAATTTAGAGAAAAACAAACACACTTTATGTAAGGCTGATCTATCAAAACAACACTATGAAAATGCAAAGTTACAATTACTAAAAAACCCTACATCATAGTTTAAGTATTTGTACATATTTTTCTATGAGACTTACACGTACTATTTCGGTGCTTCACAGTGTTAAGAAATGCAATTAAGCTACCAGTGGCAAGAGAATTCTGCTTTTGTTAGTTTGTGGAAAATGAAAAGCTGGAACTACCAATCTTGTGAATCTGACCAATACTTCAGCAGTTCCCTTTTTGTAGAAATAAATGCTTCAAGATGCTAAAGCTTAGATTCTGTGTTTTATGATAGCTCTTGACAGTCCCAGTCAGGAGCAGAACTTCGTGACTTCAGGCACTGAATAGACAAGTAGTAAGAAATCAGTCCCAAAGAGCTTTCAAAAATCAATGTAGAAACGCCAGTATTTTATCTTCTTTTGACAGCTGGAAAACTGAGCCATAATCCCTAAGGGAACTATCTAAACTTGTACTTCAGAAAAAAGAGACCCTGAAATTTAGTCCAGATCCCTCAAGTCTCAGTCCAGTGCCCTAACACAGCACTATTCATTATGGAGGGTTGAGTCCTATCCTCAGACAACAAGAATCTAAAAAGTAAAAGTATATTGATTTCTATGATTGCACAAGACCTACTTTGGAAGCCTATAAAAACTTTCAAGGCATGTAAAATACAAATACTGTCCAAGTACGTAAACCCATCCTCTTTCTCCCCTTAAAGAATCCAGTACTGCATGCAAGAGGTTAGTATAGTAATTATCTAGCACTGCAGAAATCCAGAAATTTCCACTATAAGGTAATTTAGCACTTCATACACGCAGAGTTCAGTTAAACAAGAAATTAAAAAACCACTGAATATGTACAGTTTTATCACGTTTAGGCATGCTGTAAGATACGGAATATCTGCAGTGCAGTTAAATCAATACCACAGCAGTAGAACCTGATTTTTTTTCATGCAAAGAGATTATACTCACCTGGTGTTCTGCTTCCTGGAACCTTCATGTATAACTGCACTGTGTTCATGCCCAGGATGGTATGACCAACATGGCTTAGAAGATTTCCTGCTGATACCACACGTACAAAAGCAGGAAGTTTTGTCAGTTCATGGAGTTGCAACTTCCACCTGCAGCAAAATAGCAAATCGACAAACTGTGAAACCCCAAAACTCTTAGAAGAGTTTGAGAAATATAAACATTTTCAAAAAGTTGTTAGCATAGGAGATAAAAGAGCAGACAACCTACTTCTATGTAACTTGACATCTCTGAAGAGAGAAGTTGAGACAATGCAATACCCTTAACTTGACAGTTACAGAAATTTAAATGACAATTTCATTTAAGGGTGAGCTAAAAGCCAGGGTGACCGGACTCACTCTTGCAAGTTAGCCAGTCTGCTGCTATACTGCCAGAAAATTCTGCTTGAAATTTACACCTCGGTGTACATCTTTTCCAAGTTAAAACAGAGCTGTGCTCTCCTCACACTCTAAGCGAGTCAGAAACTGTTAAGCATGCTTTCAAGAGCCAAATGATACGACGGTACAACATATGTCAAGACTGTCTGAACATACCCTCGCCTGTGCACAAATTGCTGTGACCAAGAATGAAGTTAACTACATGCATGTGCTACGGAACTGAACACTTGCATTAAGAAAAACACAGATCTTCAAACACAAAAATCCCAGAACTTAAGTGTGGAGCTCTGTAATATCACCCAGGTATCTGCGTTACTCTCCTAATTTTAAAATATTTCCAGACTGTCTGAACATACCCTAGCCTGTGCACAAATTGCTGTGACCAAGAATGAAGTTAACTACATGCATGTGCTACGGAACTGAACACTTGCATTAAGAAAAACACAGATCTTCAAACACAAAAATCCCAGAACTTAAGTGTGGAGCTCTGTAATATCACCCAGGTATCTGCGTTACTCTCCTAATTTTAAAATATTTCCAAATATAGTCAAAAATTTGACAGGCTAGTTGAGGGGAAAGACAGTTTTGTAGCAAAAGCTGAGACTGTGGATCAGAAGATCAGGCACTTACCTGGGATCCTACAAGAACTATTTCAAGTGTCAAAATGCAATTCCCTATGAGCCTCAGCTTAGTTATGCTTAGGTTAATTTAAAGTCTCTCTCCCAGTGGTTTGCTCTGAGTGCTAATTTATTAGGAACAATTTTGCATCTACAGATGGAATTTTCTTTAGAAAAAAATAGCATCAGTATTTAAAATTTTGTAACAATCTCTAATCACATATGTATGTACACACATTGATCTTTCAGTGACTATACCACAAAAGACTTCAGCATCTTAAGCGGGCCTTATTCCCCAGTTTCAAACACCATAATCTTTTCTTCTGCTCTAAGGGTTGAAGTAGATCAGAATTTTTGTACTGCAGCTGGCAGGGCTGAGAGCCTAGACATGCTGGATCTTTTATGGAAATATATACTAACTAGAGATTGAACCAAATAAAAAATTATTACTGGACAAAAAAATATGCTTTCAGAGTATTTCTAATACTTCCTGATGTTTTTCTGAGCTACCTTCATCTACTCAGAGAAAGATACGTAGTCTAAAGAACACACAATTTATTTCTTTTTTTTTTTCAGGTTCTGGCAAAGGTATCATGGCTTATTCACAGGTAAGCACTGGTCTGATCTTTACTACCTATTTTGAACCCTATTCCTGGACAGAGAAGCAAGAGCTATGAAAAAGTGGAAACAGAAAGGATGACAGTAGGAACAAAAGGAAACAAAAAAGAAGTAACAAAAATCCAGACAAATAAAAATCCTTTAATCTTACAATTTCTGTGCAAAGACTGAGAACTTGGTATTGTCAGAAGTAATTAGTTGTAAGCAAACAATTTAAAGCCTCGGAATGAAACAAAGGGAATGTATTGAAGGAGGACTAGAAAGAACAGTTTCTGATGGATGTTTAAGTTCATTTCTGGAAAAATTAAGATCCTGGAAAGAAAAGCTTGAAAGGGGATTTTAGGGTGAGAAGGACTCTTAACAACCATTAAAAGACCAAAGGTAACAATTTAATTGTGGAAATAGGGTGTGCAACTGGAATTGGGTTTAATCAACAGACTGATTGATGTCTGAGAAGAATGCATTGGTTTTCCAGAAGGAGTATCATACTGTAGAATACCACTGTGAGCAGGAGAAACTGTAATCAACTTACTTTTTGTCATCTGACAGGTCAATGTTGGTCCCAAACTTGATTGTTTTAAAAGGTCCTCTTCTCCTCCTCCCAGAGCTGCAAATACAAAAAATGTAATAGGTTGATGTGAAGATGGGAATGATGTAAAAAAACCACATAAAACCAACTACAGAATTGTCACAGTTATACCACACTTACTTATCAGAAGATGTGGATTCATTATCTGAGTGGTCCTTGTGGTGACTCTTCTTCTCATTTTCCTCCTATAAAATGCAATTGTGGAAATGTTTTAATATATATAAACAAACATAAAAGTAAGAATATATCTAAAATATATAGGTATAAAGTGATAACATGTTCACCGACATAAGTACATTTGTTTCAAGATGCTGGTACAATCTTTAAAATATCTGTATCTAAGATTTTATGTGAATATTACTGTTAAGAAAATAAAAAAAATAGTTATTAGTCAAAAGCCATTGCAAAAAATTCTTCATGACTACAAATTCAGTGAAGCTCAGGCCAGGACAACAGAAAATGTCTACACTGTAAACACTTCTGCTAGCCTACATTACAGTTGCAAATGAGTATGTTGGTTTGCTTCATTATGCAGGTGAACTGGAATCCAGTCTTAAGGAATACTGGTAACTTTTTTAGACTAGAACATTTACCTTGCTTCAAAGTCAAGCAGGTCTCCTGATACAAAATTAGGATTACTAATATTTATAAAATTAATTTTATAAAATCCATTATATAAAATATTTTGAATTTTTCATAGCCATATGCTATTTTAGCACTCCAGTAGCTAGGACCATGACTAGTGGAAAAAATCTAACCAATACTAAATGATGTAATTTGATCTTTTTAGCAGAGTGGGCTCAAAACCCTATTCTAAAGACTTCTTTTTTGGCAAGTATATGGACATAGAAGGTAAAAGAATAGGACAAAAAGGAGGAAAGAACTGCCTGGAGGCTATCCAAAGATCTCTAGCTTTGAATGGGACTGTTGTTAAATCTCAAAGTGCCTGATGTACCTGAGAAAGTCTTATTCATCCTTTGAATGAAGGACAAAAGAGAAACAAAAAGGAACCTAGTGATGATGGATTTATCAAATACTGCAAGACATGTTAGAAAAGCAATGTAATAGTTGTTAGAGGAATTAAAAAAAAAGAAAAAGAGATCACTTAGGGCAAGCCAAGAGGATTGTGTCTGTAGAAAGAAGAAACAAGGCTTTCATGTGAACGCTGTGGAAAGTCACCTAAGGACAGGTCAAAGCAGTGTTATGTAAAGGACACTTGTATGCTTAAAACAATGTCTTTTTGATTTCCAAGAGAAAAATGAAAATCATCACTCTGAAAATTATTTTACATATTACATTTTTACCATCAATTTGTAACAGGAAAAAAAAAAACATCAGAAAATCCTGCAGTTCACTTCTTGGTGCAAAACCAAAGCTGAGGCTTTCCTGCTGACAAGCTGGTATGTGATCAGTTATGTACATTATTGAACATGTACTTCACTGGACCATTATATATATATACAGTGTTCTCCAGCCCCTCTGGAATGATGTACAAGAATACAATGCTGGTACAAGTGTTCAAGGGGCACCAGAAAACTTCAGTTGATATCCTACATAAATTTATTACCCCTGCAGAAGGAAAAAAAAAAAAAAAATCCCTTTTACGTCCTAAGCTCTTGATGACTTCAGTGCTCCCCACTTCCCAATGGTATTCCTGTTTCTTTTCCTCATCTTGTATCAGTCTCACTCAAAACCTTGTGACTACCTTCCCTTCTCTTTTCTTCAACTACCGATTCATTTCTTCGTTTCTAATCCTTTCCTCTAATGCACAAAGTTTAAAGTTAGAATTTCTCTTTCCTTTCTTAATGAAACCATTGCTGTTTCTGCGTAATGGCAGTGAAAACTGCAATAGTCAATTACCCACGTTGGCGTTTTCCCTATTTTCTAATTAACAACTGGTCAAGAATATCTTTTTGTCTCAGTTCCACCTTAGCCTGATCTTTTTATAACAGCAGACAACATAAGCCTCCAAGGAGTGCCCATCGCTAATTCCAACGATGTGCTCACTACTTCAGTGAAAATACTAAAAAGTAATACCAATAAAATAACATTTCAAACATTTCACCCCATCAGATACATCTAACAACTTCTAAACTAAATAGAAATTCTTATGTTTGGAAATAAACAATAACAAATAGGAAAGCATCAGTCACTTTTCTGGGGAAAAAAGAAGTTATTTTAATATTTTAAACTGTTGTGCTGAAAGACAAGTATGAGTGTAAACTTCTAATAAGCCACATCCAAATTAATTCAGGATACTATGAAGAACAAAGAAATTTAATTTCAAAGAGTATGTGAAATTAGAAGCAATACAAGTTAAAAAAAAGCATCTTAAGTTCTAAATATTTTAGTATGTATTTTGACATTATTATATGAAAGCTTAAGCTATCAAGCTTTTAAAGTATGTAACAGTTTTACATTAAGAAAATTAAGTTTTACATTAAGCATTTGGGAGGAATACCCTATATATGATTTGACCCTCTATTCAAAAGAGATTTTGTAAATTTACCCGTGCTCTTCACGCTAATCGAAATGTCTCCTTTTCCTAAGTAAACTCCTAATTAGGAGTTACTAATTGGTTCCACAGTTAGTGTACAGTTTGTAAATTGTTATTGTAAATAGTAACAATGGACTTACCCTTAAAGACTCCTGGAATGAGGAGGCCTGGTACTGTGCATATTTAGCAATTGTTGTATGAGATCTACTGCTTTCACAACGCCAGATTTTCTTTGTTCCAGTGGGGTCCCAGTTTTCATCTGCTGGCTGCAGTAGTTGTGTCCTCACTTCTACTATGTGTTCATTATTTGCTTCTACCAATGTCTTAGTAGAGAAGAGTCCTAGATCTAATAGATAGGAATAAAATTCATAAATGACAGTTAAAATATAATAAAAAGTTTCAAGAAAAGAAGACATTAATACTTTAAAGTTATCTAAAGGTTTAAACAAAAGCATGTTTTTCCCCTCTTAACCTTCATAACACAGCCCACCTGTAGGTTAAAAATTAATGCTCAAGATTAACACTCAAAAAGCTTTTCTGCACACAACAGTAGAAGCTTAGAAAAAACTTGGCAGCTACTGTATGGACTATATTCCAAGAAACATTTTACATGACTTGTGTAAACAAATCTGCAAACAATGTTTAAATCTATTACCAATAAAGTATTTTTCAAACTATAGTTTTATGAATGCGCTTCCATCGCATAACACATTTCCTACCAACAATGATAATTTTTCTATCTACAGAGTTCAAAATATGGTACACAGTCAGATTATAGATCATTAAATCTAGGCACAAAGACATGTAGCCATAGTTTTCATAGGAAAAAAGTCTATCCGTAAGCTTCTATATCCACAGCTCAGCTCCTCTCTGTGCTCAACAAAATCTGCGGGAGTTTGGGTTTTTTTGGGGTGGTTTTTTTTGGGTTTGTTTTTTTTTTTTTTTGGAGATGATCAAGATTAGAAACAGTAGCAAACTGAGAAATGACACGTTACCCTAATTACCTGGAATACACAAGTAATGCAGTATTACAGAAATAAAATAGCCACTTTTAAGAACTGAGAGACTTCTTTCTAAAACACACATACATTTTTTTCCAAAGTAAAAAAAAAAAAACAAAACAATGAAAGTAAACTTACCCAATTTAAGCGCTCCAGCAAGGCCACGTATTACAGTAACAGGGTTGTTTGGATTTGTACAAAATTGATGTAAAGGTGGAAAGAAAGCATCTCGTTTGTTTTCCAACTGTAAAATTATAATGGAATATTAGATGTCAGATGAACTTAGACTCCTTATTTGTAAAATAAGAAAGAATAATAAAAAAAGAGAAACAACAGAAAGGAGACAGGAACGTTCTCCATTTCCCTGCACTGTAGGGAATGAACAGCTACATCATACAACCCTTTCCATGTTAAAAGCTAGCTTCACTCCTGAAATTAATTTGTTACTGCAATTTATTTCTTGGCTTGAATTATTCCCAGGTTGCTTCGGCTTTTGCAACTCAGGTTTCCTGCAGGTTATTTCTTTATCTGACATTAGCCTTGTACATGCCCTAAGTCTACAGAATTCTCTGAAGAGCAAGATAAAATACTAACTTTCTTTACAGAAGTCAAAAAGCTAATTCTACAGATAATGTATACAAGAAACAGTATAATTAAAAAGACTACTCTCACAGTATATCTCATGTTAACCAGAAAGGTTGATTTGATTTTCTTATGCTTTTGTGCACCTATGACCTCAATTTTATGCTATAGTGTCCCCAATCTTTTTTTTTTCTTTTTTTTTTTAAATTGTTGTGAATCTTTTAAAATGCTGAAGACCTCTCTTTCAATAAACAAAACACAATACAGAGTTCCCAAATATCGGGACCCACGCTGGCACATCTACACAGTGTGCTGCAACATGGTGACTTCCCAGCTTTGTACGGACTCAACAAAGCTGTGACGGACTTTTAACAAGGTAGATTAATTCAGATGCAACTCTTGGAGAACAGTTGGAAGCATTACTGCTTCCAACTTAATCTAGCTCTCGGGCAGACTGCTTGTGTAGTATCACACCATCACACCAAAGTGCCGACTGCTTTTGGTCCCCAAGTTGGGCTGAGCAAAGCTAACTTGAGGTTTTCACACCAGCTGTATGGACATACTCTAATTTATTCTTCTGTTATCAAGGAAGAGGACATCCTATAATTTCTTCTTCTATTACTAAGGAAGTTAGCTCAAATTCTTCTGATAACTTCTATTATGAAATTTTATTTTCAGAACAGAAGTTTTAATGGTTGCATATGAAAACACTATGCAATTAAAACCTGCCTTTTCCTAATGACAATTTGTTCTTAACATCACCTCAAGTTTTATTAATTTTTTCTTTACTGTATTTTCAAGCAGATTGTTAGGAGAGTTTAATTTAATTACTTGCTCGTTTATACCTAAACTGTCACTTGCAAAAAATGTACATACATATTTGAAATATTGTATCTACATTGTATCTAATGAGCTGTTTTGCGTATTCTGCCAATATTTTGAATATTAAAAATAAAAAAATTCTGAAGCTGTTTTTCCTCTTGGTTACTGAAATTCTTAATTTACAAGTACTTTAAGAGTCAAACTAAGGCTCAAAATTTTCTTTAGGGTTAGCATTTTTCCCGCTTATACACTAGTTGGGAGAGCTCTGTAATTAGAATTCAGCTGTGAATAGTGCATCTTTAAAATAATTACATTATGTAATTCAGACATCCAAATAATTACAAAAGACAGTCAGCAATGTACTTCTACCATTAGATTTACTTACATAAATACTAGGTGTAGGTGGATTCAGCTTGTCCTTTGGCAAGGGAGGGTACGGTGGAGGCGGTGGTCGTGGAGGTGGGCATTTATCCAATAGAATACTACTGTTAGATAAGCCATTTTTACCCAGATTCCTAAAAGGAAAGAAGAGCTGCCTCTGTCAATACTTGACAAATAAAATTAATAAATATTAGTGTCATCTCTTCTGCAAAATAATGATGTATAAGGAGAAACCATAATTCAAGATGCAAATAAAGCTCATATATTTTAATCAAGAATTCTCAGTGTATAATTTGATAATATTCAAAGTAATTCCCACTTTGCCTGCCGAATCTGCAACATCACCACTATTAGTTAAAAATACAACCATTTTAAATACAAGCAAGTATGACTAATTTGACAAAATTTAACAGAGAAAGCAGGTTTCAACTAGAAATAGAGAACCACCTTATTAGGTCGGCACTGGCTGGTGGATGATCAATTCATAGCAGCTGAGATAACGCAGTCCGGTAATGCTGTGCATAGCACTGTGGCAGAGCACAAAGTCAGAAAATTACAATGCCTCAGCCAAAAAACTGCTGAGTCACAAAAAACAACTACAAGTACACTAACAACACTGAATTGAACAACCACCTACCCCTCTCTGATTTACATGTTCTGAAGCCAGAAGGAGCCACTGCTGCATAATCCATTTGTTTGAACAACAGAGGAAAGGACCTACTCTGAGTGAGTTGCTGTGTCAACACCCGTACGTGTACTTAGAATCATAGAATCATTAAAGTTGGAAAAGACCTCTAAGATCATTGAGTCCAACCATCTTGTGTACTTGAGTGAGAACCTCCCTTGTTGTATTTGCAGCCTTTCTCTAGAGATTTCCAGATGTGGACAACCCACTGTATGTGTGTTAACTTTTCCTGTGATGAATGACCCGAAAAATCTGCATTCTGAGCTTAGTCTATATTCAATTTCCAGTCACTATCACCAGGAAAGTATTTATTAACAAAACCATCCCCATTTTTGTTTGTAAAAATGACTCAGCTGTTTCAAAGTTCTTCAAACTAAGCACTATTCAAATCTTTCTTCCAACCCCACTTGATTCACTGGCTGTTGTTACCACCTCGCAACACTCCACAAAATGGGATATTTCTAATGCATAATTTAGTCAGGTATCTTCATAAAACTCCCCGGTTACAAAAAAGTTGTTCTGGTAAAAACAGTCTTCAGCAGAAAACACATCTGACTTACATTAGATGAAACTCCTAGCAATAGAGCTTGTCTCTAAACCACAGAAACTGTGATACTGGCACCGAGAAACATCGTAGAGCTGGATGCTGGCATGTGAGAGCACTGCTTCACGTCAAGCTACCACAAACCACGAGTAAGATGGACTTGGGGCTTGAGATCAGATCAGAGTGACTGTTATGACAAACACTTTAAAGAAAATGAGCAAACTTCTCATCTACCCCAGGCTGCAGCAAAGATGAGCATCTTGAGAAACTGGTGCTCATCATGACAAACAAGTCAGTCATTCAGTTCAGAACTTACGCCAGCTTTCTAACTCATACATTGCTCTCCTCTGATAGAAGATCAGAGCAATACAGACAGAGACATATTTAACGACTGTCTCCAAAGCATGCCTGTCAAAATACCAAACACAGCTTACTCCTTGTGGTAGGTAAGTCTAATGCCAGAATAGACCGCAACTTCAAAGAAACTGAAAGAGCAATGTGGAAGCTTTGATTAGGCATCATCCAACTTGGCAAAAACCTCACTGACTAATGCTTAATGTCTGATGTAGTTCTTGCAAAGACCCTATTGCCCACCCCCCCAAAAACATAGAAAAAAACAGGGCAATATAAAATCACCATCACCCAAAGAAATTTATCGACCACAGTTGCATGAATCTGAGACACAGACCATCTATACAAAGTGAAACTATAATCTGAATAGCAGGTATTAGAAGTAACTATAATCTTTGCAGTATCAAACTGAAAAATAAAACCCAGAAAAGCAAATGCATAGTATTAAAAATCAAAGAGAGCTATGACAAAATTCAGTTTAAATTGATAAACAGTTCTCAGGCAATTTCTGAGGCAAGGAAGATGAGAAAGACTGAACCTGAAGAAAAAGGGACATTGCTTAGAACTAACGTGACTTAAGCTACTGTAGTCACAAGATAATCACCACAGCGAAAACTCAGTAAAGCCAGGGTACACGGGGTCTTCAGGGAAGGGGGACAATACAGAAAGGAGAAAGTCCTGTATGCTTAGAGAAACTACAGGTCTGAAAAGGCAAAGCAGATACAGAAGAAAGCAGACAGTACAGAGGAAGAGATCAGATGAACAGAGATACCTCATAAACCCAGCACTTGAAGCTGATACTACCAAATGTATGCCACAGTTTCCTATTAAGCTACTAAAACCCTGTGCGGAAGTTTCAAGAGAGGAAAGGGGCCAAAGAAAAGCAAAGCTGAGATAGGAAAACACTCGTAAATTCAAGTGGCATAGCAAACAGATGGGCAAAACATTTAAAGTTGTCTTTAACAGACCAGTTTCACTCTATCATCTTTTTTTGGTCCACGAATCAGAATAACATTATTAATAACAACACAAGAGAGCTATTAAAGAATAATGCTGTAATTGATAGCGTGGAAAACAGAGCAACAGAAATTATAAAAAACACCACAGAAGTACTACAAAGATCTGCTACCAGCACCTGAAATGAGGCAGTGTGATTATCCACTGCCAGCCTCTCCACCTCTGGAAATACAGAACTATGGCCTGTGCAAGGAAAGTGAAAGACCCTTTTTCACCACAGCAATCGTGAGGAAAATCTCACACATCTCTGTTTCAAGAGTGTATTTTCTGTGAGAGGATTTCATACCAGCTGAAAGAGGCAACAGATGCAATGCTCGAGAAAAAAAAAAACCTGATTTAGGCCCCGAAAAGAAACTGGATGCTCAAACAGTCCCTTACAACACCATGATGGAGGAATGAAGAGAAGGACAGGCTTCACTCATTTAAATTGACTTTCCAGAGGAAACTGGCTTTTCATAGCCTGTGCAGGCAGGAGAACACCCGTCATTCCCGCAGAGTGGGAAGAGAAGGCAGGAGCAGCTGCCAGCCTCAGAAAGGTAAGGACAGAGGTGCACACTGATGTGCAGCATTGTCCTGAGTCAAAGCTGCAGCTCAGTCCACTGCAATTTGCTCGATGGGTAAAAGCAACAACAGCTCATGGAACTTCTTTACCCTGAGGACCAAACTCAAACTGCCATGCTCATGAGTGACATCAACCACTATGGATGAAATAGGTGCCTGGATTTCATGTAATTAAAGGATCTCTTGAATAATCAAATCACCAGATTCATTAAAACACCCTTTCACCCCCCCCCCCCAAACCTTCTTAATTCACTGCTTTCTAGGATACATTCCCACACCTTCTAAAAACAGTTCATAACCTTCAGTCTTTGAGAACAACTTCCCCTCTGGCTGTACCAAAACACACAGTTAACCAGAAGCAGAGGTGTGACCCAGTTTGCTTCGCAACAGTCACCTGTCCTCTTCATTATATAGCATTCACTTCCCAGTCTATGCTTTTAGCAAATATTAACACAAATAATTTAACATTATCTAGGGATTTCTTGACAAATGGAGACTGATGGCTTAGCCTGAGATGATGCCCTCATCTGCCTACCACACTTCTTCCCTCGAGCTTACTATTTTCACTGCATGGACAACCCAGTAGCTTGTTATGCAGCTGGATGTCCCTGCCCCATGAGAAGATGGATTCCAGTTGCTCCAGCCTTAGAGACTCCCCTGTCAGAGCCCTACGTTGCTAAATAAAACAAGACCAAAATCTGATCCTGAGGCAACATCACTGAAACACTTAGAATTCTTATCAGGTAGTTGCTACACACTTCATAGGTACTGTATTGACTTTGCGTCATCCTACTTAACTAGGAAAAGATATCATGCAAGTTTAAAGCCAACTGTGTTACACAGCTGTAAGAATTTTAACTCTATTTTATTATACAAACTCTCAACTACATCAAGAATATTAAAGTTAACATGATAAAACTTATTTTCCAAGAACAAGGACTCATTATCATTAATTACTATCCTTTACATTTATTAAATTAATCACCTAAATAATTTTATAATTTCCCTCAAGCCTACTGTCAGACTGAGAGGATTACATTTATTTCTCAGAAAGTAGTTCCATAGTGCTTTTCAAGTCCTCTGGAACTTTTTCTGTTTTCCAAGAGCTAGAAAAAAAAAAATCTGTATGAACGATAAACAACAATTCTCTGGCCTGCTCTTTCAGAGCTCATGGATGTATGTTATGTGGGCCTCTGCCTTAAAAATGCCAAATTTAAGCATAAATACTGTTTAACCTTCTCCTTGATTATTGTGAAAACAGAGTGTGTGTTATCGTACATCCCACGATGTGAACATCATATCTGCCTTTTTCCCAAGCACAGAACAAAAATATTTACTGAACTCTCTTGCCTCTATTGACTGTTCTAGTAGCTCTGTGCAGTCATTAAGCATTAGTGTTTTTTGTGTTTCCTGTTTTTCATTGTTGGCTATAGTCTTCCTTTTCCAAACTTAATTTCTGAGTTTTCTAGAACTCTTAGTTTCAGTACTTTTAAAAATATTTGCCCATTTTGTTTTTAATTGGGAGACTGTGACTTTTTGAGGATAATAAAAAGTTCCTAAACAATTTCCAGTTATCTATACATTTGGATTTTAGGTACACTTTACAGGCCAAAACAGAGTAAGTTACAGTCATTTGCACCTAAGCAGTTATTTTTGTTGTGTTTAACTGAATTATTATTGAGGATTAGCTACATGAGAATTAACAAGGTTTTACTGCTCAAGAGATTATAGTTATTCTGAAGAACAAAATTAATACCCTCTCTTCCCCAAATAAAAATCACATTTAACATGAATAAAGGAACTGTGAATTTATGTGATACTCTATCTCAGATCTATCAGAATTAATTAATCTACAAAGAAGAATGAACAAAACATTTTAAAAGTGTGTCTGCAGAAGGAATCAGTTGAAGCACTAGGATGCACAGTACTTACTTGACCCAGTCCTGATTCAAAACAGAAATACCCAGCTTTTCTTA